TTTCTTCAATGCTTGCAATCCTTCTGATACTCAGAAACTTGAATGAATGGGGCCCGCTCTCTTTGAGAAAAGAGTGATATCCCAATTTATTATTTCATATATATATATATTTGCTTTCTAAGCCAAACATTCAAAATGTACATTGTGGTTTCCACCAATAAAGAAAATGAATAATTTCCTAATAAGACAAAGGATGGGAAAGAAAAAAAGGAGGGAGGGAGGGAGGGAGGGAGAGAAAGGTCTTGGCAACTGGAAACTACATTGTGACTTACAGTTCTGTGGATTACAGCCCAGATAGACTCTGAGAGATTAATTAGAAAATCTATTGACAAGCAGTGGCCATTTCAGAAGCTTTGTAAATGAAATAGATAGTAGGATGCTTGTAAAGAATAGATGCCTCTCTGCCTGTGGCGGATAAAGCTCTTTGTCAGAATGTAATGCAAATGTACACTGTATCTCTTTGGAGCAACAGCGTGGACCAAAATCTATTTATAGTTAAGCCCTTTTTAAGGAAAAGCACTTAGCAATGAATATAGAGGCTTGAAGGAAGAAGGGCATGAGAGGAATAATGTGAAAGGATTATATACAATAAAGCAGTATTATCTCCTCTGATTTTCCTTGAACATAAAAAATAAAAAGGTTGCATTGCATTGCTAATTTATTCAATTTGATTGGGGAAAATAGCACATGAAATAGATTAGAATTGGACAATGTTCTCTGATTTCTCTGTAATTTACCCGCCAGATGTTTACATTGACAAATCTCATCAACAGAGATACCATGTTGGCTGGGAATGTCTTATGCTGGATGTAATATATATATAGATAGATATATAAGATTTTGGAACTGGCCTAAAACTCATTTAAATGATTGAAATGCTTTGTCTATGCTTGCCCACTAAAAAAACGATTGTGAGCTTTTCAGTCTGACAGATGAATCCCTCAATTTCCCTTTTCATTCAGTTAAGCATGAATCAAATAACAAAAAAAGAATTGCCAAGGGATCCACTTCACTGTCCTCTTCTTGAATATCTGGATGCTGATCTAAAAGTGATCTGTTTATGTGCACGTGGAAGAGAAATTTAGAGAAACATCTAGAACCGCACCCCCCAGGCTTTTGGGCACCAGGGGCCGGTTCTGTGGAGAGGTTTTTTTTTTTCTGTGGATCAAAGGGGGTGCAGGCCAGTTTCTGGCATGCCAGGGCCTGGTGCCAGTCCACGGACAGGGGATTGGAGACCTCAGATCTAGAAGCCTGCTAAATTATGAACAGCTCAAAAGACTGAAGATTATATATGCATTGAAGAGATATGTAAGCAGGAAAAACCAGATGCCCAGATAAAAGATGCAGCAGTAGAATATCTTTCGGTGATCTTTGAGAAATTATGTAAAAACAGTCATAATGTCAGAGGATTGGAGAAAGGCAAATGTTGTTGCTATCTTTAAAAAAAAGGGGGGAGGGAGGTTGTAACAACAGTCTGTCTGCTTGATGCAAATATTTGCCTTACTTTTGGAACAGAAGATCAAGCACCAAATCAATGAGCTTTCAGAAAAGTCTGCAATGCTTGGAAGGAGCCAGAGTAGGTTTATCAAGAAAAAAAAAAGCATGCAAAATCAATCTGATCCTCCTTCTTTTTTTGATAGAGTGAGTGACCAGTATAGTTGAATGTGGATGTAGCATGCCTTGACTTTACCAAAGTAGAGAAAAATGGCAAAATAGGAGATGAATTATACTATCCTTATTCAGCTGATTTATTATATCCAATAAGAATTGCTGGGAGATAAGCAGTACTTAATTGTGCAAATGTTTCCAGTTTAAAGATCTTAATCTTGAACCAAGAAGTCCTGTTGTACTTGCAGAATATTGATTTACTAGTTCCCAATTTCATCATTCTTGCATTATAGTACCATCTGATATGAGATAGTATATATACAGGTAGTCGTCAACTTACAATGGTTCATTTAGTGATCGTTCAAAGTTACAGCAGCACTGAAAAAAATGATTTATGAACATTTTTTACACTTATGACCATTGCAGCATCCCCATGGTCAAGTGATTTACATTTGGATGCTTGACAACTGGTTCAAATTTATATTTATTTAACCAATTCCAATGTCCGGGGTCATGTGATCACCTTTTGTGACCTTCTGACAAGCCAGATTCACTTAAGCATGATGTTACTAAGTTAACAATTGCAGTGATTCACTTAACAAATGTGGCATGAAAAGTCATTAAACCGGGCAAAACTCACTTAAATTTCTCACTTAGTAACATAAATGTTGGGCTCAACTGGGGTCGTAAGTCGAGGACTACCTGTATTTTGCTTTGAGAAATATTTCTTATCAAAGTTCTCCACCTGCTGGACATTGTTTGTAATTAACATGGTATCTTTAAGAAAGTACTATACTGTAATACTACAGTACACGGTATATAAATAAGGATACATGCTGAAAGTGAAGTAAAGTGCCCTCTAGCTGTGTTGTACCAGAACTCCATATTTATTAGTTAATCATAGTTTAGATATGGTTCTTTTTAAATCAGATTTTATGGTTTGAAATTTGGAATAAATCAGATAAGTAGATAATCAGATATTAAAATGAAAACAAGGCTTTTCTCCTTGAGCCACCAAATTGAAGTTCAAAAAAGGATAGGAATAGGATATGTTGGTTTGATTTGCATCATTATTATTCATATCACTGTAATAGAAGATACAGAATTCTGTCTGAGTTGGTAAGATGTAACCCCTTTAATCTTATTGGAATACCATTTTCAAGTAAATGCAAGACCTAGTTTCTCTAACACGTTATTCACGATGAAAAGAAAAAGCCCTGAATGAGGAAATGTGAAAGATTCAACAGTGAAAAAGATTCAGAGTCATTTATACATTTGGAACAAAATTTGACTCACTTTTGATATTCTGAATTCCAAATAACAATTAAGGTTATGAAGGCATGGAAACTGTAGGCTAAAATTAGGGATGAGATACTGAAAAAGATAACACATATATTGTAGATGTACCCTGGATGTAATTATGATTTTATACTCTACTGTAATTTATTTCTTTGTTTACTATGAAGCCTCTTCCAGGAGATCAACACAGAAATGTGTGGTTTTAATAGCTTCAGGATTCTGTCAGAAATAAGAGTTTCCACCATGGTAGGATCATAGGAATGCTACAGCAAATTGCAAGAAGTACAAAGTTTTGCTTTGTTGTGGATGATTGAAACATAGATGTCACAGATATAGAGGAACACTGAAATTACAGGGATATTTGAAAATCAAAAATCCTATAAGAATTTAAAAAATAGGTAAGGTTGCAAGGGAGGATGGTGAAACTGGAAAAACTATGGTAATACATGGTTGTAGTGGTTGGGAAATTTGTTGAAAGTGTGTGTTAAGATTGCATTCGTGCCTAACAATGAAAAGAGAACATATAAAAAGAGAACATATGAAAAGAGAACATATGAAAAGAGAAAAATTAAGAAGAGTGCAAAAATCATGCAATGATTACCTTGTTAAGTATACCTGGAAAGATGTTGGCAATATCAGAAGAAGCCGAGAAATAAAATGCACAAAATTTGAAAGTGCAGTACAGGCCAGATTTTTGCTTTTCAACAGGTCAGTGAGGAAGGTATGAATGTATGAAAAAATGTGGTATCTGTTAATTTACAAAAAAAAGTATATGATTCTAGAATGGCATGTACGAATGTGGTACTGAAGTTTTTTTGCTATATGGAATAAAAGTAATATATGATGGAAGTGAAGCATCCACAACATAAATATAATGTTTGTTGCAATAAAAATAATGCATCTGAAAAATAATGTATCAAAAAGAAATAAGTTCAAGTTATAAATGGAAAAATATTAGAGCAAGTAGAGTGAGATGGGGATTTTACTAGTTTACTAGTTGATTTGTTAAGAGAGATCAACCAGAGGAGTATGACTCTATTTCTGTGGCTTTGATACTTAACTAGGGTATGAAGAAAGAATAAATAAGTTGAGAGGAATGGAATGAGTAGAAAGTCAGGACTGGATGAAGTTCATAAAAAGATGAGGTTTTAAAAATGAATATATGAACCAGCGTATGGACCCAGTGAAAATTATTTACTAAGACAGAAAGTTATGGAGAGATATAGCTAATAGTGTTGGTGTAAACTAGATTTAGTTAAATTTCTTTTAACTAAAGTGTTTCTCAATTTCTTTTGCTAACTCTTAATTTCTTCCTGCATTTTTGCATAACATCCCAAAAGGAAATAGTATTGTATATCTGTAGGTGTAAGAAAAAAATCTTTTTAACTTGTACCCTTGAACCAATTTGCATGTATATTCAAGCCAATCTGAATTATTAAGTTTGTAACATTGTGCTTGCTGTTGAGTGCAACAACAATAAAAAGAACAAAACAGATTTGGTTTAACATTCATTCTATTAAACCAAAACAGCAGGCAAGCATATTAAAACTTTCAGCTGTATAATGGAGTCTGTGGTAGGTTAATTCATTTAATAAACAACCTATACTTTTAAGTAAATCTTTAATAAGTATATGTATCTCAAGAGTGTCTCAAAAGAAATATAAGAAATTGTTTAACACTGATATTTGATCTAACATAGTATTATCTACTCTTAAGATAATTTTTTAAAAATATATTAGAGTTTTTTACCCAATACTTTTGAAATTGGTATGACAGATAATGAAAGTGGAGCATCCTGCACTCAAGATAACCTCATTTTGTACCTAAACACAGTATATAATTTAATTGGTATGGGTATACCATACCAATTGGGTATTATGAGAAGTTTCCGTGCATGTGAACACCGAATGCATGCTAAAATTTCATCTGTATTAAATAAAACTAGATCTTTAGGAGAACCTGTTCCAAAAAACCATTTATGCTTTTTTATACAGTGTCTTACATATGCTAAGTGTCTATTTGATACAATGTAGATCTATATTAAATCTCTTGAAACCCTTGCATTGTAGATAGTAAGTTTTCACTTGTCTTACCTTTTTGTGTTTGTAATAATACAGGGAACCGTCATGCTTTAATACAAACCACCTCTTTCTCCAGCCCTTCAGGATTCCAGAGTAGGTCCGCTTGTGGAGGTATCCTCGACATGTTGGACGAGGGATGTTGGGGCAACGACTGATATCAGAACCCACCAATAAGTTCAAGATATCAGGACCTGAAATGTTTGAGTATATAATAGCAAATTAAAAAACAGATTCTTCTATTGCACATAATAGAAAATGTATACTAAAGTTTTACTCTAAAGCTCTAAATGTTGAGAAAATGCCTTGTCAAAACAGATTTATTGCATTTTATTCCTATAAAAACTTCAACTGCTTTCAAAAATCTAATATTTATAAAAAAAATTGGTAACGATCAACATATTGACGCTGATTTATTATGTACAGCAAGACGCTATTCATTGAAAATGTATCGAGAACTATACAATATGAAACAAACAAAGTTAGTGATACAGATAGCATTTTCTATAATAATAGTAATAAGGCAGCAGAATGAGCCTGTTATTAGAAAACGTCATATTTCTCTGTACTTGTCCAACTTTTTATTGCTGTTGATGCATTATTTATATTAATGTTTCCTATAAATCCAACCTAAATACAGTGTCTCAAAACTTCTCTGGCTTGCAATCATTCTGCAGCATTCTTCTCTGATGAAGGCTGCAACCTTGAACTTTGAGTAATAGAAATTATGACAGGGTGATCCTCCTCCTCCTTTTGATTTATGTTATCTGCTATATTCTCTAAGTGCCTTATTCAACTTGGTATCTCTAATCAATTTATTTAGAAGGTCAGAATAGAGAACAATGGAATGTATTGGCATGAATGTGAATGGCATGTTTAATTAAAGACTGGCTTTAGTTAGGAAAAGATGTTTGGTGTGTAATGGAGTTAATAACGATTATTGCAAACAGAAATATTTGCTTTTATAGTCAGTTATTTATATGGAACATTATTTTGCTGGCCTGGTCCAACAGCATCTGATAGAAAGTAAAAATAAAAAAATATTTTAACAGCAGATCAATCACTTAAAGGGGTTCTTAACAAAATGAATTACTATGACTAAAGTTCCTTTCCTCAAATATTGAAGAAGCTTCATCTCTATATGGCTGTTTTGAGGGGGTTTTCATGTCATCTCCTAGAACTTCCTGCATAGTTCCTGCATTGTGCCAGCATTCTTAGTAGAAGAGTTATCTTATCTATACAGGTACAGGTGTGTGCTGACAACCTTGGAAAAAATCTTCAAACTCATCATGCTGAGCCTTCCAAAAGATCCAGCTGTTGGATGTGTAAGCAAACTGCTTCAGTGTTTCACACATTTTACAAACCTACCTCCCCCAAATATTTTACATATTGTAATAGATTTTTTTTAATTCATGAGATTAAAAAATGACAATTGCTATATATGTCTGAATATTTCTAAGACTGCCTCTAAGTGTCTCTAAATATAATTTGAGTGTCTTTGACTGTCATATGGAAATTATTCTTTTAAACACAGTCCTGCCATGTCTGCAGTACTGTACTTATGTGTATAGGGTTTGACCAAAATAGCATTGTGCTGTCAAAATTCACACACAGAACTTCCAATCAAATGTGCTTTTGTCATTCCAATAAGAGGAGCAGGAACCTTGACAGAATCTCAGTTCTTGTTTGAAATGGTTTTTGAATAGCAATACTCAAGAATAGTTTGACTAATATGTAAAATAAATTACATATTAATATGAATGTTACTGTGCTTCTGCTGGTGGAAAAGAGCTCGTATCATTCACATTCAGTGAACAAGAGCAGAGAATTCTCAAACTTCCTCTTAATAATTAGAAAAAGAATTCTAGTTTTTCTAGAGAAGAGTGTGAATTCCATCACCACAATTAAAAAATTGGTATATACTAAAATAAATTTCTCAGTATCTTGAGAAATAACTGGCATTTGCTAAATATTTTTATCTCTGTCAAAACAGCGTTACTGTTACTAAGATCCCTTGGGTATAATTAGCCCTCACCCAAAAATAGTTTGAATTTTAAATATACCCTAAAATTCATATTAATATGAATGTTATTGTGTTTCTGCTGGTGGCAAAGAACCCTTTTTTTCTTACTATCAGAAAAACTTTTTTTGTTGGCCGAATTGCTAAGAGCTAATGCATTAATTCAGCCAACGATGAATTTTCCTCCAGAGAAAATACCAGACGTAAATAGTAGATTGATGTCTTGGACACTCTTTTCAAGTCTCATCTCTCTGAATCCTAAATGTGCTCTTTCTGTCTGACATTTGGCCTAGATATAGGTGATTCTGTAGGAAGGTAACAATAGTAATCACTGGCACATACAGAAAAATACTTTGTTAAAAAAATCTAATTCACATTTTCCTCTTGGATCATTACTACCATATTATCACATCAGTCACCATGTGTCTAAATCTGTCCTAATTGTCAAAGTCAGCTTTTTCAGTGCACCAGAATTATATTATTCAAAAATAACTTTGTTCTCTCAAGAGTTTTATAGATACGAGATATACAGTATTTATGGCAATTTCAACTTCCCTGACAATAGAAATGGCAGCTGATGTTCTCTAAACTCTCTTTGGTATGTTCCTTGCCTGTTGCAATTTGGGGGACGGAAATCTCAAAAAAACAAGAGTTAATGAACTGCAATGTAAAGTTACTTGTGTTTAGCAATAGAAATAGCACTTAGACTTATATATCACTTTACCATACTTTACAACCCTCTCCAAGCAGTTTACAGAATCAGCATATTTCCCACAACAATTTGGGTCCTCATTTTACTCACCATGGAAGGATGAGTCAGCTTTGAGCCTGGTGAGATTTGAACTGTCAAATTGCAGTCAGCTGGCAGTCAGCAGAAGTAGCCTGCAGTACTGCACTGTAACCATTGCACCACTGTGGCGCACCATTTAAGTATTTAAATGGTGGTGCACTGCTTAAGGCAATGGCATCTCAAATATATATATATTTGCTAAGGCTATTCCAACTTTGGAGATTTGATTCAGATGAATTCAAACTGATTTTTCCTCTAATTTTAAACAGGTACAACTATCCATTCAACAAACATTTGAAGTTTCAACGCACACCCTAAATGCTAAATACTAACATGTTTCAAAGTTACAAATTTTGCAGTTCTCCCCCCAGCCACAGTCATTCGCCCTTACGACTGACTGCAGAGATGCTGCAGCACACTCACCCATCTCTTTTCCTTCCATCTTGTCCAGCCAGGTCCTTGGAGGCCACCAGAACATAGTATGTTAGTCTCCTTTGCCAATACACTGGGTTCTATGCATTATTTTGCTTCCCTTGAAATCCCTTCCTCTCTAGTCAGCATTTCTTCTTAGCTCCAGTGGTGCTAGTTTTACACTAGTGGCACTAAGAAGAAATCATAGTGGTTTACCCTGGCTAGGGAGGAAAGGATTGCCATGGAAACAAAAGAGATTGGATTTCTTCTTAGCTCGAACAGCATAAAATTAGTGCCAGTGGAGCTAAGAAGAAATCATAGTAGTCTATGCTGGCTGGAGAAGAAAACATTGCAATGGAAGCAAAAGAGATCAATTTTCTTCTTTGCTCTAACATCGCTAACTTTACGCTAGTCTTGGGCTGTAGAGCAAAGAAGAAATCCAATCTTTTTTGTTTCCATAGCTATGCTTTCCTCCCCAGCCAGGAAAAACCACTACGATATCTTTTTAGTGCCATCAGCATAAAACTAGCGCTGGCAGGGCTAAGAAGAAATTGTACTAGTTTATGCTGGCTGGAGATGAAAGGATTATAATGGAAGCAAAAGAGATTGGATTTTTTCTTCTTTATGCCATGTGACATAGCAAGGGCCCACATGCTTCTGGCTTTCTGGCTCTTTAGCAACCGGCTTCGTGTTTGGAGCACTGCCGCTGTTTGGAGCTCCAAACGGCGGTGGAAGCTTCCAAATGCGGAAGCTCCAAACATGACGGTGGGCGATCTTTTTATTTTGGTCCGCGCGAAGTTCAGAGCGAGCATGAGAGGGAGACCGCGATGCCTTGCTAAAGGGCCAGAAAGCAGCAAGGGCGCCAGGTGGAAAGGACAGGGTCGCGATCACACGGAGATGCCCAAAGCGCGGAGCGCACATAACTAAAGGCGGTGCATGCAGTTGGCTTGGGGACTACAAGGCAGCATCTGCGCCTCTTCCCGGGCGCGTCTCTAGGCTGCTTCCGGAGCTACGGGACACTCTCCGTTGCCTACCAGCCCTTCTTCCTTGGGCTCCCTGCCGTGGGGTACACCCACTTCCTCCTGCAAATTATGCCTCGCAACTCTTCTCTCCTTTTCCTCTCGCTCCAAAAAGATCGCCATCGTATCCCGCCGATTCGGGCTTCCAGCCACGTTGTGATCCACTAGTGAGGTTGCCATCTCGGATGGAGGCATCGCAGTCTCCCTCTCTTGCTCGCTTTGAACTTCGCGCGTACTAAAATAAAAAGATCGCCCGCCGTCATGTTTGGAGCTGCCACTTCCATGTTTGGAGCTCCAAATGGCGGCGGCACTCCAAACACGGAAGCGGCAGCTCCAAACGTGGCAGCGGAATGGGCAGAAGGGAAAGCAACAGCGGCGGGTGCCAAAGGTGTCTGTAGCAAAGGTGGGAGTAGGGAGCTCTCTGTGCTTGGCCACGATCGCCCGTTAGGAGCGGCTGGTGGCGAGGAATTCCGGCCCGCCAGGCGCTCCTAACGGCAAGTCTCCCCGCCCTTCCCCCTTATTTTGCATATTTTAAAATAGGCCTAAATTTGGGGGGAGGGGCTTAATTTGATTTTATGACCAAAAAACATGCTGGGCCTTCCTATTGGTGGAGGCCGTATTGTTGGAGAAACACGGTAGTCCTTGACTTCCAACATAAATGGGCAGAATCCATAAATGTCATAAGTCGAGGAAGACCTGTATTGAATAGCACTGAATTAACAATCCAACTGAACTGAGAAGTCAGATAGGTTAAGAGCAATCTATATGGCCTTGAACACATCTTCTTGTGTTTTTATGGATAATATACCTTTCCATTATGAATAACATCTCAGTCCAGTGGGATTGGTCTGCCCCACTCATGCCAGCAGAAAGGGCATATTGTGGAAGCCATCAGTCAAACAATTTCATCTAGTGAGGTCTACTATGGCTTCTGCCCCTTGGAAATCATATCCTCCAAAGTTAGATCTGTACCAATTCTCCTGACCTTCCATAAGGGAATGTAGAACTGGTTCTGCCATTTTGTATGGGGCCCCTAATGGGGATGCATCACTTTGGAGGCTATCAAATTAAGAGAAGACTGCATGTACTTCATGCTCCTCTTCTTACCATCTTTTATTCTAATGGTTATTATTGTTATTTATTGTTTATTATTTTAATGTTTACCACTTTTAATGTTTGTAAGATACCCAGAGATGCCTATACATGAGATGGGCAGCACAAAAATCTAATAAATAAATAAAATACGGTACTACCACATCTCTTCTAGCTAGAAGCCTAAGAAAGCAGCAGCCTAGTTATCCAATTGCTTGTGTCATTAATTAAATTCTCAATTGAATAGAGCAACCTGGCTTGTCTACAGACAATTCCTATTTTCATGTTATCCTAAAATGGTGAGAACCCCACAAATAGACTCCTAAGCATTATGTAAAACATTCTGTTGTAATAATTTGACTGGGTATTTCTGGCTTTTGGCTAAGAACTAATAGCAGAATACAGAATAACAGAGTTGGAAGAGACCATGGAGGTCTTATAGTCCAACTCCCTGCCCAAGCAGGAGACAAATTTTAGACAAATGTCTGTCCAATTTCTTCTTAAAAAATCTGTACTGATGGAGCACCCACACCTTTTGAAGGAAAGCTGTTTCATTGATTGATTATTCTTACTGTCAGGAAATTTCTTCTTAATTCTTAATTCTTCTTAATTCTAGGTTGGATCTCTCCTTGACAACTTTTCATCAGTTACTTCTTCTCTTAGTAGACTGCTCCATGTGTGACTAAAGAAAGCATATTTTGACAAGCATAGAACTGATCCACAAATAAGGAATTTCTAGAAAGTACGTGAACCGGGAATGTGGATAGGACAAAAATCTTAGAGAAGTGGCAAACCAAAAATGATCCAATGGCACCTTATCCACTATTGTAAGGCAGACAGCTTGAAGGCAGAGAACTGAAAGACTCGTAACTGCAATTTCTTCATGGTATTTCATTGAGAATAAAAAAGGCTGACGAAAATAATTTGTGTTGAATTGAAGGAAACTGAAGGATATGATTAGTCATATTGCACATAGTAAGAAAATCAGGGACTTAATATTTGTAGTACTTTGATGTTGCAGAAAAGATGCTTGCCCAATATTTATTATTGATGTTGATATTTGTGGTTGAGTTAGATGCTCCTCAATTTTTTTTCCTATTTTTGCACAGTATGCAATTTTGTCATTGTTGAGAAGATAATGCCCCCAATTTGAGTAAGCACAGTCAGAGCTAAACCAAGGATTTTTGTACTGATTGTGATCTCTTCACTGGGTGTGTTAAATATCCTGATAGGCGAGTAGCACAGCCTGAAAAACCAACTCATCATTTTACCCCTTGATTTGACTTTTTATTTCAACTTTATGCTATCACAACAGCATTCATTACAATATGTCTTAAACTTAAAAAAAAATAAATCCTCAGGACTGTGGTCTCCTGAAATATGAGATGAAAGTTTTAATGTTGAGCAAGGTTTTTTTTTAAAAGTTGTATGAAACTTTGTCACTCTGTGCTGCAGCTATTATTTCTTATTGTTGTGGGTCTCCACACCATTTACAAATCATCAGTTAAAAGTTCATATTTTTGAGCAGACTTACCTTTTCTTGCTAGGTTTGCTGCCTCTGAATGAGGCATGCTAGTGACATCTGTGCCATTGACAGCCATCACTATGTCTCCAATCTGAAGGCCCGCTTCTTCTGCCGTACTATCTGCCACAAAACGAAAAAAAAATGCTCAGCATTTAGCAATATTTGGCTAATACTGTATCAACACAAGGAAGGCAACCTCCTTCCCATTACATCCACTGCTGCAATCCACTTCTCAAGAAGTTGAAAAAGGCTAAGATTTTCCCTTGCTTTGCATAAGCAATCCAAGTTGAACTTGTCTAATATTGGGGTCAAGCAGACTGCTGTCTGTGGTTCTCTGCTTGAGGCTCATTAAAATGAATGGTGGGAGGTGATTTATATTCTCTCCCCCCTCTTTTATTAGGTCAGACTCACAGGCAATCTAACCTGAACAGAATTCACTTGATTTTTAAGTGCATGAGGTCATTACACAATGACATCATTGATTATCTGAAAAGGCTAGAATATGAACAATGAACCATGGGCTCCATAACACAATCCTGGTATCATATTATCACATTAAAAAAAGAATTGCAGAGGCAATGGTAGAAGAAAAAGAGCAGTAGAGAAGGGATTTTTTTTTTCTAGGGGTACCTCTTGAATTTCCCTAATATTACTAGGTTATTGCTCTTTACCATATTCCAATGTTCAACCTATGGCAAAGTACAAATTAAAGCTGTATTTACAGAAATCTCTCTGGATTTCACAGACATACTTAGAAGACAAAGGAGAAATTTTCTGACACTGAGAGCAATCAACCAATGGCCTTCAGAAGTTGTGGGAGCTTAATTGCTGGAAGTTTTCAAGAAGAGACTGGACGGCTATCTGTCAGAAATGGTGTAGGGTCTTCTGCTTGGGCGAGGAAGGTTGGACTAGATGACCTGCACAGTCCCTTCCAACTCTATTAATCTGTGGCAGGGTGCTTGGTTAGGAAATTCACACATTGCCCAGAAATAACAGGTGAACTGAATTAATAAAAGTAATCTGTGATTCTGCTTTTTTTTTGTTTTTAGCTTGATGTGAAATCAAATAAAAATGTTGAGGACGGGAAGGTGAAGCTCTGACTGCAGGTTTTTTATGATTTCCTTTAATGTTTAGTTGGAAGGAGCTGGGCAACTCATTGGAGAACAAATATAGTTAGTCCTCAACTTATAACCATTCATTGAATGACTGTTCAAAGATACAACAGCACTGAAAAAAGTGACTTATGACCCTTTTTCACACAACCATTGCAGCATCCATCCCCTTAGTCATGTGATCAAAATGGCAACTGGCAGGTATTTATGACTGTTGCAATTTCCCAGGGACATGTGATCAACCTTTTGTGACCTTCTGACCAGCTAAGTTAATGGGGAAGACAGATTCATTTAATAACCATGATTTAATAACTTAACAATTGCAGTGATTCCCTTAACAACATGAGCAAGAAATATCACTTAACAATTGTCTTGCTTAGCAATGGAAATTTTGGGCTCAATTATGGTCATACGTTGAGGACTACCTGTAGTTGCAGGATAACAAGATTGCATTTCTGAGGCCAGAGGGCCCTGATGGTTCATTCTATGGAAGTGCTCAGATATTTCTTCAGAAGCTCAAGGCAGCATGTGTAGCTTTCCCTTCTCCAAGTATTCCCTATAATAAATTGGACTAAGATTATAATACAATTGTTGTCCCTACAGTAACAGTGCTGTTAGGTAAGCTGGGCTAAGAGTGATTGACACAAAATCATCAAGTGAGCGTCAGTGACTGAGAATACGATTGAACCTAGTCTTAATCTAATATCTTAACCACTTTGCATTCCCACAGAGCTAAACAAACATTAGAAGAATTGAGAGCTTCAAAATAATTGTTATGGAAAGAACTAGTTGGTGGGATTTCAAAGCATATAAAAATATGTCTGATCCAGAAGTACTAAATTATCCTCTGGATTATTATCAGTAGCTTAAATATTCATGCACATTATGTCTCAGTGGTGGGATTCAAATATTTTTACCACTGGTTTGGTGGGCATGGCTTGGTGGGCACACTTTGTGTGCGTGCACAAACTTTGCGTGAAGTGTGCGCCAAATGTGCACTTTGCGCAGGTGCAGCGGCATTTGCACACAGGCGCAGAGACGTTCTAACTCACCTCCTGCAAGCCTGCACGATCCCAGTTGCTTCAGCAACTCTTGCGCGGCACTCTTCTGTGCTGCACAAAGCAGCTGCGCTTCAAATTCAACAGATAAAAGTGAGTATGGGAGCCCGGGTGGGCGGGTGGGCTCAACAGCAGAGCAGTGGACAGAACTGGTTGGGTCTCCACTGCTCATCACTGCTACCAACTTGGTAGAACCGGGCCAAACCAGTAGAACACCACCCCTATTATGTCTGTGGTACAGATGGATGTAGCCTGCTTTTATGTAAAGACATGCTAGGGACAGAAGAAAATGTAGAAAATATGTTCAATTCAGGTCTATCAAGTCACTATGATTTGAATTATCCCTCAGTGTTTCTCAGAATAACGTTCTTCCTCTGTAGCTCTTGCCAGCATACAATTAAATGTCATAATGTATTCTGAAGTATTTTCTTCCATAAAACACAAACACAGAAATCCTTAATTGATACAAGTACTCTAAATTTTCTGATGCCCCGTGCCTTAGAAAGTGCATCTGAACAGTGTAAAGCTCTTTTCTGAAGGAGTGGAAAGAAAAATCAGAAGCTAGCAGAGAAATGACAGGTGCAGGAGTTCTGGGAGCTTCTGCTCTTTTCATAAAAGCTCATCAAATAATATATCTTGCATTTGACTGATACATCCATAAATTTGACATTACATTTCCAAAGCCATTTCAATATTTTTGAAGGTTTTTTGGGGGGTAACTTTTATTATTATCACCATCTCCATTTACTGCAGTTTGGAGAAAAGAAGCCATTTTGAGGGAACTGGCTCATGGTTTATTCATTCCTGCCATTTAGAAAGTTTTAAAAATGCCAGAAAGGAATGTCAAAGAAAGTATGTTGTACTTCTGAACTTCTCTGGGTTTTACTTGTGAATGCCTTTTGAAATTGCTTCTCAACCCATAAAACTCTTACAGTCCACAGAAAATTCTTCACACAACATATTTCAGGTGCACCTGTGGATAATGAAAATAAATACCAATAGTGCAGTCAGGAACTGGATTTCAACCTGTTTCCATCAAAGAAACAGTATCCTACAAAATTGTAATTGTAATGCTGAAATAAGAATAAGATACCTGATCTACAACTTATGCAGAATTAACTCGAAACATCTGGAAAGTAATAGATTGCTTATCTGTGTCGTAAAACTCATGTTGTAATGTTGTCATTATGTGACATATCACAACTTTTTTCCCTTCACTAAAACGGGGACGGGGGTGGCCAGTACATGATGCATCCGGGCTGTGGGCTGTGAGTTTGACACCCCTGCTGTAAAGCATGAGTCTCCAGCAAGATCCTTTTTCTTCATTTACAATTTTCTGCAATTACAAATATTGATTAGCAGCAAATAAACCTGAATGTAAGTGCATTTCTAGAAACAATAATTTTTGCAAGGATAATGTCCACACTTCATATAAATGCAAACAAGTGTAACTAGTGGCCTGAAATCAGGTTTGGTGGGCAAACTATTAAGTAAGCCTGAAACGGACATTTTTAAATTCATGTGGGGAAGGAAAAGAGACGAAAGAGCAGGTGACTCTGAAAGATATACTCCCAATATCAAATATTTTCTAAAGAGATACATGTCAGGGTGACAGATATTCAAGTAATCATTTGTTCTGTCAAACTGAATTATCACAAGAAGATGTCAGGTGTTAAAAAATGATCTTATTCAAAAAAGAGACAGGCAAAACTACAAGCAATCCACTTTTTCCCCCTAACTGCCAAGGCACACTGGCCTTTTTTGTCATTATTATCATCTTTTTTTAGCAGGGTATAAAGCAGAGCATAGGAGAAGTAATTGCTTCAGGCAGGAGCTGACCCTTTTAGTTTGATTAAATGAAAGTCAGAATCAAGGAAGTTTCTTCATCCATAAGTGAGTGGCAAAAAAGAAGAAATCTGTTCCCATAAGGATTTTTTTTATTACAATGGTAGGTCTATTTGCAAGAGTAACAGCAAGATTTTCTCCGTATTATAGAGATCCAATAGAATTCTAAAAAATATGCTTCATTGTAATCACAATAAAAAAAAAATCAGAATTGTTGAAACACCTGCTATCTCTTTGCTGGCTATTTTAAACACCATATCGTTTAAAACTCCTTTGAATCTTTTCACAAAGGAAGTGAGCTTTGGGGATGATCATGTCACTTACTGGAATCTACTTCGGTCACCAAGATGGGGTTTGAGAACTGGATTCGGAATCCCCAAGGATAGTCACCCATTCCTTTAGGAATCCTCACAGTTCGCTCCCGAACTAAACAGAACGAAGAAAACAAAAGTGAAGTAAAATGCCCATGTTCATATTTTTATGGGGCATTTGTTGACTATGAGAAATAATTCTGAATGGGCTACTTCTTGTTATGGAGTTACAATTAAATGGATTTAAAAAAAGCAATTAATAAATCTTAATCATTAATTAAATTATTAAATCCAAAGAAATAATCAAGAATATAAAATAGTAATCACAAGGTGCTTTGATAATTCTAAGAGTACATTGGCTGAAGCCTGGCAGGGCAGAAAAAGAACTGAGTGATGTTTTCTATTTTAATTTCATTATTGATTATGATTAATGTTTATTAAGAAATTATCCTTAGCTTCCAATTTCCAATTTCCTATTCACATGAAACTTGCCTCAACTTAACTTTGGTCTTATAGAGTCTTATATTTTGATACAGAACAAATATTTTAATATCTTCATTAGAAAAGGACAATAATCATTACTAGGATGGCAATCCCACCATTTCTTTAATGTAATTGAGATTGCATTCTTATGAGACACACAGTATACCCAATAGTGTTTCATTGAAACACTTAACTTTTTAAGGTACACTTAGGTACATGGTTCAAGTAAATAACTGGTTATACATATGGACTCTACAACAATGTCTGAAAAGGTTATAACAATAGTCAAGATGATGGCCCTGAACTCTAATTGTTTTTTTTTCATTGCATTTCATGTAAAAAGAGTGGAGTTTGATTGTGCAGTCCTGGCTACCGTCCTTATTTTGTTTTATTCCCTCCTATCTCTCACAGATCCCCTTCAAATCACATGCCTGAATGTCTTTTTATATCCCTCCTGACATAGATCTATCTATCTATCTATCTTCTATCTATCGTTGTTTTTATAAGCAATAGTATCTTGCAATTGATAATGACAAAAATCATTAACTTGCCCTATTCTGAAGACATTATCATATCATGCTCCTTTAAACTTACCAGTGACTGGCCTTTTGCTAAGACATCTGAAGTTATTATCTGCATTAGGATCATCCCCTTGAAACACCCATGAAGCTGAATGGAACATTTCTGTGTAGAAGCCACTTTCCCTGTGTGATCCCAGATCCAAGGGACCACCATGTGAATTCACTGGAAAAAAACAAGAATTGGGAAAAGGAAGATTTTTGTTGGTGTCATCAAGAAAGTGACAAAGTTATTAAAAGCAAAAAAAGATGAAGATAAATTAGAATCTACTGGTTAAAAAGTGGGGAAAAATTCTTAAAAACAAAAAGGATCCATTCATGCCTTGGTCATGATTTTTCTGCTCATTATTGTGAATAAATTGAGTATTTTAATGTCTTGTTCTTTCCGTCTCTATAAAATTATATCTTAGTTTTGTTTATTTATTTATTTATGCTATTTATTTACAAGACTTATATGGCCAGGACTCCCTCATATGACAACTCTAGGTGACTCACAATAAACAATAAAACATGGTTAAAAACAAAGGTTCCCTTCCCCTAGGCACCAGACCAAACATTGTTACAACTCAGCCTTCATCCTGTTCTTATATCATCTTCTTTTATTACTTTGTAAGCTATATTAAATATTTTATTACCGGTATTAAATATTTAAAATATGAATATAATCTGGCTTGAGGACTAGTGCCAACTTCAGACAAAGGCTTTCATTTTTATTAAGTGAGTCTTCCTTTTGCCTATCACTAAACTACTTCCTTACCCTTCTTTCCATATATTTGATCAGCACAAGCTTTCAGAAGGAAACAGAAAGAGTGATTCTGATCATCCTTTGGGCTAAGCCAGTGCCTCCATTCCAGAGATGGTTTTCAGCAGGTTCTGACCAGTTCTGGAGAACCAGTAGGTCAGATACCACCTCTGACTGGAGATTTTATAGTATCCTTCCCCTATCACGCCCACCAAGCCACGCCCACAGAACTGGTAGTAAAAAAAATTGAATCCCACCACTGCTCCATGCTTAGAAATGATATGTGACTCTGATTAGGAGGCTCAAATCAGTGGCAATGGGCTTTCAGGACGAGAGGCCTCGGGAGTGTCCAAAAATGCTGAACATCTGCATTCCATCAATTGGAGAGAGAGAGAGAGAGAGAGAAGTAAAAAGATTTGCTTTGATAATTCAGCTTCTGTCCCCTAATTAAACCTTTGATTTGTGACTTGGCTATACCTTAGCTGTTGCTATTGCTTCTGTAGTCCCAGATAAACAGCCAAAAAGGACTTTTAGCCAGATTCTATTGAACTTGACAAGCAAATGCATCAGTGGTGGGATTCAATTTTTTTTTACTACAGGTTCTGTGGGCATGGTTTGGTGGGCGTGGCGGGGGAAGGATACTGTAAAATCTCCATTCCCTCCCCACTCCTGGGGGAAGGTTACTGCAAAATCCACATTCCCTCCCCACCCCACTAACCTGCTTTCCAGCTCCATTCTCCTGTGCAGGGCATCAAAAGAAAACCCAGCCAATCAGCTGGGACTCGGGAGGCAGAGAAGAGATGGGGGCGGGGCCAGTCAGAGGTGGTATTTGCCAGTTCTCTGAACTACTCAAAATTTCTGCTACCAGTTCTCCAGAACTGGTCAGAACCTGCTGGATACCACCTCTGAAGTGCATGCAGCCTGGCAATTAGAAGGCACATATCAATTCAAGTCATTCATTTAAAATAGCTCCATCTGTATCACACAGTAAAGGTTGCTATTTTCTTGAACCCAGAATCTAGCACATATTAAATTTCAGGATCATATAAAAACACGTAAAGTTGATCACAAACACGGTTTCCAAGTTTGTTCTATCCTATTGAACTTTTACCAATTATGTAAGGAATATTTTTGCTCAAATACCTTCCTATTGCTTAGGAAAGCGGATGAGGTCTGCAGGTTTAGTTTTATGAGCCAATATTCAGAATGCTTGTTAATGTTAAGAATAGAAAGCACAAAGCTGTGGATTTTGTGTGGGAAGCAAAAAGGAGAGTCTAAAATAAGTAACACCACAAGTGAGGCTTTTGATATTTGAACATACATTTTAACTTTAATTTTCATATGTAGGTTTAAAAAAATAATTTATCAAAATCACTGGTTTTAGATTAATATTCCTTCCATATTAACTCATTTTATCTTGTAATATGTTTACAAAGAAATATGAATGTCTTTGTCTCAACATCATCACCTTAGAAATGTATATATATATTTAATACTGAACCCTGTGTTATTTTCATTACAGATTAATACAATATAAAATATTTGATAATCTTCTCTTATTAGTTCAGAATGTTACAGAAAAACGTAAGGGATTCTCCCTTCCCCCCAAGACTCAGATTTTTCTTCCCATTAACTCCCTTCAAATGAATTATTCAACATTACCATTGCTGGATCACAGAAAAGAAAATTACAGACAGACTTCCACATAAAAGCCTAGGTGAGCTTACCTTTCTGTTGTCCTTTTGACCCGTGAAAGTCCATGTGTTATGACTGATCTTTATAAAAAACCATTGATTTAAAAGCTCCATGAATTTTTTTTTTTTTTAGTTCCACAGTTAAGGAGAGGAGGAGTTTTCAAGGAGCAGCTTACATCATATGGATGAATGATTCACAGTTAATTCAATCATTCCAGAAAGCACTCATCAACATCGTGTTACATAAGGGACAACAGCATTCATAATACAGCACTTTCAAGCAACAAGTTATTGTTTATGTCATAGCACCATGAGAGTGTATGACTTAGTCAAGTCTAGCCAAGTTTAAGCAAAGACTGCAAATAAATAGCTTCAGAAATATTTTCTTTTGGGGAAAGAATGCCTTTCAAAGACACTTATGAACTTTATATTTTGGCAAAAGGAATAAAAATGAAATACTTATTTTACTGATAGATACATTTTCAAAACATTTAATTATTTTTTTCCTCATTTAGACTATTATAGATAGATATAAAGGGCTGGGAGGATTTTGTTTTTGTTTTTCTTAATCTATGTTTTTATTGTACTGTTTTTTTTGCCCCCCTAATCTATGACAGAAAATCACTGGTTTTTCTGTGATATTAAAAATACAGCAAACCTTTAGTAATATCTCAAACCATGAATATTTGCTGTCTTTTCCTTATATTTAGCATCAGCTATTTAAAACAGTTTCTTCATTTTGAAGGGCCAGCTTAAAACCTCCCAAATTAAACTGAAGCACACTAAAGAGCTGAATCATGTCAAAAGGCACCTGATTGTTCATGTGCAATTACTAGAGTGTAAAAATATTGTTAGTGGCAGGTTTATGGTTCTCTTCTCACATACAGCTTGGGTATTTCAGTGATAGTTTATCTAAACAGGGAATCCAACTTTTTTGGATCAAGAAGCATCCTGGCAGTGGTGGGATTCAAAAAATTTTACTACCAGTTCGGGCGTGGCATGATGTGGCTTGGTGGGTATGGCTTGGTGGGCATGGCAGGGGAAGGATTCTGTAAAATCCCCATTTCCTCCCCATTCCAGGGGAAGGATACTGTAAAATCTCCATTCCCTCCCCACTCCTGGGGGAAGTTTACTGCAAAATCCCCATTCCCTCCCCACCCCACTTTCCAGCTCCAAAATTTGAATACCACCACTGCACTAATCTGCTTTTCAGCTGTGTCTTCCTGTGCAGGGCAACAAAAGAAGACCCAGCTGATCAGCTGGAACTCAGGAGGCAGAGAATAGTTGGGGATGGGGCCAGTCAGAGGTGGCATTTGCCGGTTCTCCGAACTACTTAAAATTTCCGCTACTGGCTCTCCAGAACTGGTCAGAACCTGCTGAATACCACCTCTGCATCCTGGGCTCTGAATAATGTGCTAAAGATTCCACTATAATACACGGGATGTTGAGAGAGACTAAAGTTAAAATTTATTTCATTAACATTTAAATGTAAATAAAATTTTATGATTGCTCTTCTAGCTTGTATTTAATCATCTCCTCTTTATTCAGTTTCCTTTTAAAAATTATAATCTAGGAACCGATTTTAGAGGTATCTGGAGCCATAGTAAGCTCTTTAATATGGCCATGGCCCTTATTCTAAACACATTGCTTTTTACAATTTTACCTCTAGACCTATATATTCTGCAATGGGACAACTCCCATGGGACAAGTGATGAATTTATCTGCAAATCTTTAGCAATTTTTTTCTTCATATCACCAACTAAATGCAGTACTTACTGGATCCTTTGGTGAAGCTGCTATTCTTAGAGCTCTTCCTAGCTGAAGGGTGTCTTCTGCTGTTTTTGAACCATTTCCTTCGTCTAGCCCAACGGTCTGGTTCTTCTTCCTCTTGGGAACTATTGTTTGTCCTTGCATCTTTCAGCACTTGGTCCCTTGATAATCCTGTGCTTGTGTCTTTCAGTGACTTAGCTATATTTTGTGGGGAGAAAAAAAGAAACACTCTATACACCTAACAACATTTAATACCAGATTACCTTTTATAATACTCTACTTTATATAAGTTGCAAATATGTTAACTTAATATCAGTTACTGAAAATACAAACTAAAAGAATCATTTTATAAAAAATGGAAAGTACCACCTTGTATAAAGTTCCAGTGTGCCAAATATATTTTCCACTCTAACTGGATCTGTATTTGGGTATCTGTATTTTTCAAAATACTGCTGTGGTTCGCCGGCAGCAGGTGCAGACGGTTGAGGTCTCGGAGAGCGAGGACTCAGATGAGGGGCCTATGTATTGTGAAGGGATGGAGCCAGGACCATCAGGGAGTAGAATGCTGCCTTCGGAGATTGTGGATGCTGGCAGCAGTGATGAAGAGGTCCCCGGGGAGCCTGTGTCCATTGTGCACAGGGCCGCTTGAAGGAAAGAGCAGCTGCAGCAGCACGGGCAACATGGGAGTAAGGCTGCAAGGTAATGGCCCCTCCCTTAAGAGATAAAAGCCAGCTGAGTAACCGGAATTCTTTGCAGGAAGCAAAGAAGTTTTTGCACTCAAGCCTGGTGAACATTCAGAATATCTTGGTTGGTGTTTGGAGACTCTTTGTGTTTGAAATATTTTTTAGTAACTTTATCTAGTGTTCTTGGCAGTCTTGCACAACCTTGGCAAGGCTTGTTCTTATCAGAGACAATTAGTTTGAAACAGCCTTTTAACCATGAAGGAATGTAATTCATAAATAATTATTAAAAGGTTTTGCTGTTACCTCTGTTTTGTGTTTGTTTCCTTAGAACAAGGTTTGGGTCAGAACAAATACATTCCTATTTTCTGGTGGACAAAAACATTAGAAAAAAGAGGGCATTGGCAAACAATGCCATCATGATCAAGGGAAGTGTTCCATACTAGCAGGCTTGAAGGCCTGCATTCCTATTGGTCCGGAAGAGCCGGGCTGTGATTGGACGATATAAAGCAATCCTGATTGGTTCGCATATGGTTTGCCGCGATTGGGTAAAACCAAGCGCGGCAAGCTCAAAAGTCTGTCATAGGCTGCCTAGCCACGGCCAGCTCTATAAAAAGAGCTGCCGCGGCTGGGATTTTTGTCTCAGAATCTGCTTCCTTAATAAAGAGCTGTTGTTCACTACTTGAGCCTCGCCTCTCAATGGGACCCACCAACCATACTTAACAGGAAGCATATTTGTGGCAGCGATGGTGTTTCTTACTTTGGGTATATTTACAGACAACAGACAGACGTCCCCCTCCCCCCCCAATATGAATGTTTGTGAAGAACTCTCATGAGGCAATTGAGTTTAGGGTTTGGTATTGAATTGGAAAGCAATTTCCAGACTGAATGTTAAAAATTGGTGAATATGATGTATTCTTTATTAATTTCTGAAATGTCTATATATAGGTTTTTTTTTGGTACTGATGTCTTACCTTTGGGAGGTTATATTTCACAATTGATTTTTTTTTTAATAAAAGCAATTATTTCTTCCACTCTTTCAAAACAGAATAGAATAGAATGGAGAAGAGAGGAGTGGAATGGAGTGAAGTAGAGTGAGTAGAGTAGAAAACAGAACAGATAGAAAATAAGATAAAATAAAACAAATTGAATAGAAAATAGAATAGCAATAGCAATAGCATTTAGACTTAAATACCACTTCACTGTGCTTTATAACCCTCTTTAAATGGTTCACATAGTCGGCATATTGCCCCCAACAGTCTGGGTCCTCATTTTACCAACCTCAGAAAGATGGAAAGCTGAGTCAACCTTGAGCCTGGTGAGATTTGAACTACCAAATTGCAGTCAGCCAGCAGTCAAGTAGATGTATTCTAACTACTGCGCCATCACAATTTTTTGAATAGAATGGAACGGAACGGAACAGAACAGAACAGAACAGAACAGAACAGAATAGAATAGAATAGAATAGAATAGAATAGAATAGAATAGAATAGAATAGAATGACAGAGTTCAAAGAGTTCAATATATGAGTTTGCGTTAATGTAAAATTTATTTAGATGTTCTTAAAATATCATCATAAATTAATAGTTGGGACAAATATATAGTTCACCACATCATGAACAGCACTAAAAACTGCACAGGTTATTTGAACAGATTCTATATATGAATCAAAAATCTGATGACCATTTAAAAATCATCATTCCTTTGTTATTGTCACCCTTTGCTTTTACAGAGATTGCCTTTACTGTTTCAGAGAAAGCTAAAATTACTTGCCTATCTGATCATCTTGATTTACTGGTGGGAATGTGGCTGAGGTTATGATTACATTCATATTTGCTTCTCTTTCTTCATCTTGTTTTTCAGAGCTGGGTTTGAATAACGTCTCTGTCTGAAGATCTGCTAAATGACTTCCAGAACGATGAGACAGACTTATGTGTTGTTCACTAGACAACACCTCTGGAGCATCTGTGAAAGAGTCCCCAGTTAAAAGATGCTCAGTTTGTATAAAATAATCTTGGCAACCAGAATCTTCCGGAATGTTTTCAAACACTTTCTGAATGTCAGTACAATTTTGGAATTCATTAACTCGGTTTGATTCTTCAGTATCCAAAAGAGGCAACATAAATACTATTTCCTTTTTGCTGCTGGGCTCTTTTTTTATTGCCAAGCCAAATGAATTTGCCATAGATTTAATGTCACCAGGAATGATGAGCTTCTGTTCCAATTCTCCAGTTATTACAGTCCTGACTGATTTTTTCTGGGTTTTTTTCATTTCTTTAGACTCAAAAATATTTTGCAGAAGATTTTTGTTTGATTGTGTTACTGATTCTTGACCCTGAATGTCTTCTACAGAAAGCTTAGCAGAAATGTTATTATCACTATTGTCACTTGATAGCCTTTCGGAAAGCAAAAAGTCTTGATTTGCAGTTACTTTGTTTGGTAGTTTTTCATGGACTTGAACTTGTTGGTCTTTGCTCCTTAGAACTTCCTCACAAACAAAACCATCTTTTTCAAAGGTAATATGTTCTTCACCTCCTTTTGGGGTTGTTGGTGTCTCAGTGGACCTATATTTCTCCTTTTGAGCTTGAGAAGAATTCATAATAGAATTCTGCCCTGTTTCCTTACTACTCTGTCTGTATTCTAAACAGTTATCCTCTGAAAAAGTATAGCCGAACTTGCTTTCTAATTTAGTATGACACACATTCATATTGTGATCATATGAAGCAAAAGCATAACAGTGTGAGGATTTAAGATCTGTGACAGTACCAAACAATGATGTGAAACTTGAATAAGGTTTTGTATAGCTGACACATCTATTAGTACTCATTTTATAAGTAGTTACTACTTTGAATGGGGTGGAAAGGAGTTTTAAAGATAAAGATGGCATGGAATAAAAACCCGAGTCTCTTCTAAGCTGAGGCAATGGCAATACGTCAATAGATGTGACTGGAACAGAATATCTTCTTATGTTTTTTGATTTCTTGGATGAAATTAGCATAGCAGTCCCTGTTTCAAATAAGCTGTTGTTCCTTATTTGTAGCACATTACTCATCTCTTTATTATGTTTCTTTCTAAAATTGATTTCTTGGGAACTGTAATTTTCTTGTGGTGTTTCTGTAGAATAGCTGAATTCAGAAAAAGCCATTTCTTTATAGAAATCTTTTCCCTTTGTGCAGTCCTTCATATTCCCTTGGCAGGAAGCATTTTCTTTTCCCCAGTTTAAGGCAACTGAGTAAGTATCTGGTACATCCATTTTGTCTTCTTAAGGATTTAATAATCTTAATTGTAATACTTAAGCAGCTTCCGCACAATCAGCAAATAAAGCTGGAGGAGATGTAAGAATATACCATTCTAAATTTATGCAACTTAAAAATATTTCTCCTGAAAGTCAAAATTTGACTCAAAATTTGAATGACAAGACACTTTAATGATTAAAAATGTGAAACACAATATTTTCACATAGTTTCAAAATTACGTGAACTGTGAGCCCAAGCATATTTACTTTGTCACCAGGCTCAGAATTAATGGATAACTTCTTTCCACCAATATATTTTCCTTCCTACCAACACTTATTTTTATCGATGGACTTGCAATTTGGATGTTTCAGATTCTTCAGAAAAATTAGTCAATAAATTAGTGGCCTTTTTGTCACTTGTAACAGTGTTCTTTGTAATGACTTTAAAAAAAATGTTTTGACTTTCAAGCCATACAGTGGTTCATCATGAGGATCACAATAGTCATTTCCATACTCAAGAAATCATATTTCACTTCTCTGTACAGCAGACCACAGAATTATATTCCATTGTAGTATATCTTTTGATGTCTTTTCTAAGAACTTAGAAAATCAACATTTACATGTAACAATGTCATTTGCTGAGCAGAAAAGAGTATTAGCAGGACAATCTTATCCTCACTTTCCTTTTTTTCAACTATCAGATATTGCCTCAAAAAAAATCAGTGTTATTTCCTTTTCCACTCTGTATAAGAAAGATGGTTTCCACTTCAATCAGATATTGCAAACACGTTGCTTCATGGATGAAATCAGGTGTTTCTTGGATTGTCACCTGTCCCGTTTTCAATGTTCTGCTGGCATCAGTTGATACTTATCTGAAGAATAAAAATAAGAGAAGAATTAATTCTGTTACTAGTCTGAAAGTAAGGCTGCTTAAACATATTAGGCAGGTCAATGATAATTTTTAATGGATTACAAAAGGATGCAATGCTCTTAGTGTACCCTGATGCTACTGCAATTCTGATAATTACAACTTGCTTGTGGTTGCTTTCTTTTCAAAAAGATGTAGGAATCATCCTGGACTGAAACTATCAGCTGGTACAGCACGGTTTGTATGGTCCCCTAAACCTCATTAAAATGCCACGGTCCACCACTTGTAGTTTAGGATAGTATAAAACTGAGAAAAGGTTATTCGATTCCAGGACACATCACTCCTTCAAAAGAAATATTGGAATTGACACTTGGATAAACCTTTGACATTCAAAGGTGATTTGCAGATTTTGTAATTTTTCTGGCATTGCAAAAGTAGAAGAGATCAAGTGCTTTGAGTGACATAAATATGTCACCCCATTGCAGACTCTGTCTTCCACATTCTTATCTCCTTATCCAGTAACTCATTTTGTCATTTTGTCCAGTATGTTAGTTTCTGTGCTCAGTCTGCCCAATAATTTCAATGTTTTCATTTCCGCCGATATATACATTTTATAAGAGGGGTTTCTTTTCACTGTTTCTCTGCCCATGTATGGTCTTATATGAGTGGCTCTTCATTGCATAATCTGTATTTTCTTGTAGTCTGCATTATGCACATTAGTCTACATTTTTAACTTCACTGTGTGTCAAGTATGCAATAGGATAACACAGTCATACATACACAAGCAGCATGGAAGGTATCAGTCCCAGAACAGGTTATCACATGAAGCCTTTCACCCATTTTATGTGTGCCATTGCAATTCATGTTAGAAAGACGGATGCCAATAAACCCATGACCATAGCTGCCATCTTCAATTTGTTGATTTACACACTGTGTTCAATCCTGTTAGTTTACATTTTTAGCAAAACATTCAGTATTAAGTATTAAGATCATGACCTAATAAATATCCTGACACAAACAATAGACTTAAGTAGCAGCTTTTCCTCCCCAGTGTTTCAACAATGCTTAATAGCAACCTTTACATTAATGTTCTGGAAATGAGTGTATTACTCATGTAAATGCTTTCTGTTCCTCTTTTTAATATCTTGTTACTTAACTACTGTACTTTAGTAATAGCAATAGCACTTAGACTTATATACTGCTTCACAGTATTTTACAGCCCTCTCTAAGTGGTTGGCAGTCAGCATATTGCACCCAACAATCTGACATTGGAAGGATGGAAGGCTGAGTCAACCTTGAGCTGGTAAGAATCGAACTGCTGGCATTCGGCAGAATTAGCCTGCAATACTGCATTCTAACCACTGCGCCACCACAGTTGTATGGAACAACTGTGATTAATGTCCATGCATGCTGATTGTTTGCTTAAGTTTATTCCAATATATCTTTATTATATATTTTTACTTGGAAAAGCAGGAAATCCCAGATATGTTGGAATACAACAGTCAGGGTTCCCAGTAATCATAATTTATAAGTAACTTGAACCATGGCAGATCACCAAGCTGGGAAAGTCTGTTGCTTTAATTTGGATCAAGAAAAAGTCAACTTTATTGACTTATGTAAATTCCTCTATGCTTCTTTCCCAATAAAGTTAGATATTTTGATTATAATCTATTGAATTCACATTTAAAAATGTAATAAAATATGAAATCACATCTCTATATAATTGTAGGACATATATACGTATTGGTAGAGGAGAACATGGAGAATTAATGAACACATGGATAAAGTACAAAGGACAATATACTGGGTAATAGTCTCTCTGTGTTTAATCTTATTACCACATTCTATAAACGCATAATACATTTTAAATGAGATCAAAATGGTGCAATGTATAATTTGTTCCTTAAGAGGAATATTGTATGTATAATTTGTTCCTTAAGAGGAATATTGTATTGTCAGTCAGGACTTGAATGAAACCAAGATGTTCACACTAGAACATATCTCACCTCTAGAATGGAAGTGTCTAATTTCCTAACATTGTCTTTGGGAAATTGTTTAGCAGCCCAAGCTAGGATTTGAGCTGAAGCTGCTGAAGCTTGAGGAAAGAAATCATAGTGCTTCACTCTTTTGTTCAGGATGTTTTTAGACAGCAATGATCATAGATCAGGCATGTCTGGTCTTGAGAGCTTATGAATAGCTACTCTCAGATGAATAACCTACTTTTCTATTCTTGATCCATCAGGCCTCTTACTGTATTTTTTGACCTTTTCTGTTTGTATAGCAATGAACATAGTTAAATGTTTGTGGAGATTCTCAGTTATCCAGGTCATAGTTGTCCCAAAGGTGCTTTTTCAAGAGGCAAATGGACTTTGTTTTTCTTTGAAGATGTTTAGCTTCTCATCCAAGAAGCTTCTTCAGCTAAAGAAACTTTTTGGATGAGAAATGAAACATCTTCAAAGACAATGCAATAAAGTTACCTCTTGAAAAAACACCTTTGGAGTATTGAACATAGTGTTTAAAATTACTGATTAAAATCATATAAAGTTTAGGAACTTGCCAACTGCAGTTCTGGCTATAATTTGGGAAGATTATTAAAGTCATCTGCTGGCAATGCGATTTTAAAATCTGAGATAGCAAAGAAGTTAATTGATAGTATTGCTAGAGAAAATGTGTCTCTGTGTGTGTATTGTGGAGTGTGTGTGTGTGTGAGTGTGTGTATTGCTGCAATGGAACAGACAAAATATATTTTTTAAAGGTGTTGATAGGAAATTTTTTATCTGTATTGCATGTGTTGACGTGACACTTAGAAAATCTCTATTTTTAAAAATGGAACACTTTAAACTGTCAGATAATGAAAGAACAGTTTGTTTGTTCCCCATTCACTGCCAAAAATCTTAGCAGTTTTACAGCTAGCTAGCGCTCTCTCTCTCTCTCTCTGTGTCTATATATATATATATATATATATATATATATATATTCCATTCTTAAGTTTTCGCGGGTATTTACATGTATGGTATTCAGCTTTGTTCGGGTATTTTCCCACGTCATTATAGTTGTGCTTTTAAAGTTGTAGCAACGTTTTGGCAGAATCTCATCTGCCATAATCAGGCTTCTGTATTGTGTTCATTTGATGAACACTTTTGGGATATATATATTTAGGATATATTTAGGATATATATATATCCTAAATGCACAGCTATCTTAAAAGGACCAACTTAAATTGACAATTCTGAAAGCTCCATATAAATAACACCATAATTCATCATTCTTAGAGACTGAACAGGCACACTAATTCTTAACCCCTTTTCCCAAATGTCTTTTTTACTTTGTGAATAACTTTTTAAATGGGCTATATAACATGCCAAAGAAGGTTAACTATATGAATCTTATAGCTGCAAAAGGTCTTTAATCAAAAATCTGTTGGTGAAATTTATCACTGCATTTTTATGGCTTCCAGGTATATTAAATTGAGGGAACACATGAATGTATCAAAAAAGTGAAGAGAAAGCAGACACAACATCCATTTTCTGATTTTATATTTTCACCATTATTTTGTAGAGATTATTTTGATGTTGAACTGTTAATGTACATTTAAAAAATGCATACATAATCATGGTCAGACGTAAATGAAATAATACAGTGTAACCTCTTTAATTGACATTGCTTAACAATAAAACAAAAAACCTAACTGAAGGACAATAGGAAATTAAATAGGCTGATAAGCTGTGACTTATGTTCAGTTTAATAAAAGGCCATCAATGGAAGAGAAGCCTACAACTTACTATAAATTATAGCACTAAAAATCCATAGCCTTTTGATATGTCTATCAATATCATGTTCATTGAATTGTGATGCAGAGATCTTGCTAAAATAGGCCAAATGAAGCTAATAAAACATTTTTCCTTCATTATGCAATATAAACTAACTTAATCAAAGATTTCTTGCTATTCTAGAATAAAGAGGGAATCATCTTGAGCTTGGAAATTGCATATAGTTTTACCAATCTTTATTCCTTTTTTTACATCCACTTTTAGTTGATCTTCTTTATGTGACTTACATCAGTTGATGTGATTTTTAATACTGATTTCTAAATGTAGCTTGGTTCAAAAAAAATTCACTCAGTTTTGTTCTGGTTCTGTAGCTTTCATTGACCACAAAAATAGTTTTTGGATGCTTAAAGGCTCTTCCAGGACATAATGACAGTTGGCTGTGGGAACTTCAAAGAGTTTGATAAATTAGCAGAATGGTTTTTCCACCATCCACAGAATCCAATCCAAAAACAGTATCATCATTCATCACCATTACTTCAGACAATAAACATTCTTTCCAACTGAAACATTAATCAGTTATTACATTACATTATTATTTTCCATTTAATTATAAATTATGGATTTAGAATATCTTAAAATAAGCTAAACATCACAAACTGTCATCAAGGGCAGATAAAAGTAGAAAAAAATTGAAGGTAAAATGGTATTTTCTTGAATGATTAGAATTCACTTAAAGTCTGAAGAATTTCTAAATGTAGATTCTCTGAGAAAATACAGTTCAGGCTAGCAAAACCATCAAATAATTTTGCCACTAGTACTTCTAATATTAATACTTTATCATAATGTACAGTATATTCATAAAGGAAAAAAATCAGTGGGACTCCAATATAATCTTAAACATTCAAAATAAATTACCTACTTCAGTGTAAATACATTTTGGAAATAGAAGTAAAGCAATTAAAATATATTTAAAAAGAAATTCTATTAATGTAAAGATTTCCCCCTCAAAAGACAAAAAAAAAATACACCCGATTGAAGAAATCTATTGTTCCTGTACCTTGACATCTATATACACATTTTTTGTACATATATATATATAGTGTGTGTGTGTGTGTGTGTGTGTATGTATACACACACACACATACACCTTTATGAAATAAAATTTTAAGAAACTCTTATCCTCACTTGATGTGTAGCCTAGAACTTTATCTCTACTCAGAATTCAATCTTACAACTTTAGAATCATATGGTTCCAAGTAATGCTAAAGAAACTAGCCTATTTTGAGTGGAAAATATAGAATATTTCTTTATTGGAACAAATCTTGTGAAATTCTATGACAGCAAATGTAGCTGGCATTTTGTTAATAACCTAGATAATGAATAGATTTGTGTAAATATTTACAAAGCCTAAGCATTAAAATCAATTTCATTGATTTAGTACAGCCGTGTTCTGATCACCACATTGGAAAGAACAAAATAATTGTGGTATCATAAAGATTACAAAACACAGTTCAAAACCCTCACCCATCTCATTTTCTTCTTCTTTTATTTATTTTCTGTATTATCAATGCAGAACACTAATAACAACACATACAGGTAGCTATAGTCTTTTTTATTGGAGTAAAGGTTTGAATTATTATCTGTCTAAATTATACCCCCCCAGCACCATAAGCAATGGGCAAGCAACTCACCTATGCAAATGGTATCATCTTCCTATTTTTCTGAAAGGAAGACTTTGCATTCAGAGGAAAGACTAGTCAAATCTTAAGCCTGATTGGCTTGTTCTATTTCTTTATATTTCTATTCTTGTTCCTTAAACTCAGAATCGGATTAAGCTATTTAATTCCTGAGATTATTAATGGTCTACCTTTAATCAGCCTACAAATACCTACTCTTTTTTCCCCTCACGTGTATAGACAGATTCAGAACGGAGTATTTTTTCTTCTTGTACTATGTTTGAAAATTAATCAAATGTAATTTTTAGAAACATTTTAAAGACAATGAATATTATGCAGCAGCCAATTCACGCTTGACTGCTACTTTGTCGTTTTTTTGCCTATTATAGTGGAGCATCCATGGAGTTTATCCATTTTGACCTATCCATGGAGGGTCAAAAAAGCCTAGATGGGGTATACAGCTGGTGATTTAGCCCTGGCAGATTGTGTCATCTGCCATCTTGACTTTTTTAACCGCCTAATGGACATTCCTGCCTTGGTATAGCAGAACAACAAGAAGAAGGAAATATTTAAGGCTGGGAAGAAGTTTCACTGAATTTAATGGGGCTTCCTTTCCAGTAATCATGTATAAATTTTCTCTGCTAAGGATTGCTCCTGTGATGTTGCGACTAGGACAGTACAACTAATTAAAGGACCGTGGTTCAAAATATAGACACTGCTTTAAAAAACAGAATAAATGTTGAAAGAATGGCAGCTGGGATAAGTTTCACTCATACTTTCTTAGTCTTATGCATTTCAGCATTTTAGAAAGAATACACACAGTATAGAGTACAAATGTTGTGCAATAAGATTAGTCTTCAACCATAGTAATTGAATGAATGGAATGAAATTGTAGAACAGCCTAACTAAATTGGAATGGATTGTAACCAGGAATGGGATTCTACCTGGTCGGACCAGTTCTATAGAACCGATTGCTGATTCTGTGCAGTTCAGAGAACCGACAAATTGCACCATTGGCTGGCCCCTCCCCTCCCCCTCCCTCCTTACCTGGCATGCACGCCATCCAACTTGCCTGCATTTGGCAAGTTGCTATTTTTCCTTCCCCCCCCCCGACCATCAGCTGTTCTGCTGTGCCGGGAGATTTAGATTAGCTGGAAAGCAGGAAATAGTTGGATTTCTTGCTTTTTAGCTAATCTAAAGGCAGAGCTGAACCTTCCTTAGGACTAAAGCTCTATTTTTCAATGCAGACTCAGATAGCAGATTGCAGAATGGTAGATCTCTGAGTGAATCTGTGATTCTGGAAGCTCGCTTTGCCTAATTTTGGGTAAAAGTTGCTCTTTAATAAAAAATTCAATATTTACATACATGGTGTGTGAGTTAATTTTGTAAGTTTGCTTGCAAGCAAATTTTATGTGACTCAGGTAGCAGATTACAGAATGGCAGATCTCTGAGTGAATATGTGATTCTGTGAGCAACTCAATCTGCCTGCCTGCTTTGCCTGATTTTGGGTAAAAGTTGCTCTTTTTTAATAAAAAAATCAGTATTTACATACATGGTTGTGAGTTAATTTTGTGAGTTTGCTTGCTAGCAAATTTTAGAGTTTGCGTGCAAGCAAATTTTAAATTATAAAAAATTCAATATTTACATATTTATATTTACATACAAGCAATGCCCAGCCAGTCACATGCCCACCAAGCCACAAATTAGGCCATGCCCACAGAACTGGTTGTTAAGAAATTTGAATCTCATCCCTGATTGTAACTACTTTTTATGGGTATGGAGAAACTATGATACTTACGGGGTTTTAAATGGACTGTCTGGAAATGGCAGGACCCATTCAGCCTAACAAAGGAAGTTGTTTGATTGGAATTATATCCAGATTACTTGAAAAAAAAAAAAAAAGACAGCTCAGCTCTCCCATGGGAAAGTTAGGAAAGACCCAAATTGGCAATCAAAAAAGAAACAGAAATAGAAATAACTGCAGGCTATACCTTCCAGTTTCTCAAAAAGACCACATCTCTGTTACTCAGTGACAAAAGGTAATGATACCTGCAGCACTCATGGTTAAGCCACATTTCCATTTTTTCCCCCGAGTTCCACAGACAGCATCCTTCATCTTGCAGTATAAAAAGAAAACCAGGTTCATAGCTGCTGGTTAAAACTTGGATTGTGCCATTTGTTCTACTTCCTGCACTTTTGTTTCAGTGTTAGTCTGCAATATATTTAACTTCAATTTGATATAATTGGACTAGGGGTATTGAGCGAAGAAAATGCAGAGAACAACTTTGTTAGTGAACTCTCTACGGAGGCAAAATCTTTTTAATAGATGTCACACAGCTGAAGGGTTTAGGAAGACTTTATTAAAGAGCTCCAGGGGACAAAAAAGCCAAAAGTCAGCTTGCTAACTCAAAACTTCTCTCAATTTAAACAGTTAATAATATTAATATAATATTGATGACACATTTTCTTAATAAGGATCTGCTTAATGCAAATATATCCAGAAACTCCAAATTATAGCTTTATGATTTAGTAATGCTAATGGTAATGCTGTTCAAAACAGCAATCTTCTTATAAGAATGAGATTTTAGTTCACATTGGTAATGCAATGTCTATTCTTTTAATAGGATTTTTACAATTTTGTTTAAAGAATTGCATAGTACATTGGTAAGAATATTATACTGATACTATATTGACAATTTTGCTATGTTTAATGAACTAATGATAAAATACTACTTAATATTCTATACCAGGCATCAAAAATCATTACAAGTGTGTCATTCTTGTGCAATTTTATGAAACCCCCCCCCCCCCCCACCTCCATTTCATATGAGCTTGGATAACAATTTAGAGATTTTGTAAGATTTGGCTTACGAGATTTTTTGGGCACTTCTCATTTAAATTTTTAATAACATTAAAAAAAAAAACCTTCGGAGGTCAACAGGTCTAACCAGGTTATCATAGGTACTATATGTACAGTACTTGCTAGAACACCCAACTTATTTCCTAATCAAATAAGCTTTTATCAGCCTATTTATCAATTAGCCAATGTTTGACAAAATTTCTAAAAAGAACTGTATGTATAAATATTACAGGGAGTAATTACAGGAATGTGGGGAATGAAAGAATTGAAAATCTAAAATTACTACTATAATTACATTAAGTTTAATTTTATCTTAAAAGATGCAGTTATGATGCAATGCAAATATATAGCTTGCTGAATTTAAAGATTAGCATTCATTCCAATCCAGTGTTTTATCAACTGATGAGCGATGGCCTGATGTGGTGGCACAAAAATATTTTTGTTCTTTTTGTTGAGGATCTCTATTATCTGAAATGCAAAAGAAAAAAAAATCAGAACAAGAAACACACTATATAGTAATTGAAAATCAATAGTTAAGATCAATACCCAATTGTTTTTGATAGAAGACATTGGGCAAATCTCATATCTGTCCATTACTTCTTATACAGATGGTGTTTGCTATTTCTGGAATGATCTACTCACTTTATTTCTAAAATTGGTGAAGGGAAAGCCACAGATTAAAAGCATTGGTCCCTTTTTTGAAACATCAATGTAATATTATTTCCCAATATGTTTCAAAAAGCTAAGCTAAGTTTAAAAAAAAACAAATAATGTATATCCGCTAATAATTTTTCACTCTTAAAATGAACAGATGGAAAGCAGCCATTAAAACCAGAGAATGTAACTGATCACTCTGCCAGGTCATCAAGGTTGGTAATGGAGAAAATAACTAAAAAGAAATATGAAGGAAGAAACATGGGAGGCAAATCACTTTATGAAATAATTGTTTTAGCGATATTTTACCTCATCACCAATAGCCTGAAATATTTCATGGAAATAGAACTTGTTCTAATAAAAATGGTCACCTTATTCATCTGATATCTCCAAGAAGACAATATTGTAACACTGAATCAAGAAGATCATTACTCTTGGAGTGAAAGCCATGTATTTCTAATAGTCTTCAATGAAATGTACCTAACAACTTACTGGCAAGATCTATGGGCTCAACAGAGAAACAATTGCTTGTATCAATTCTTTGACCAACATATAATTTTCAATTTCAGTGTAATCACTGTACAATAAGGAGAGTAAGAAGTTTAATTTGTTTGAGTGAAAAAGCACATCCATATTGTATGCCCTAACCAATGCATTCTGAGGACAATCAATAAGAAAAGGAAATTAAATTGAACTTTACCTGTTCTCTACTGAACCAGCGGGCATCTTCTATTTCAATGTTGTCAACTTTAATTTCGGTAGACATTGCAGCTGCTATGCATCCAATCATTAGTGAGGAGGGCATTGGCCATGGTTGACAAGAGACATACTCAACACGGCCCACTTTAACTCCACTTTCCTCTTCTACTTCCCTTCGAACAGCATTTTCAATTGTCTCACCTAATCAAAGAAAGAACAGAACAGTTAATTGACAAAGCTTAAGGCAAAGATTGTACCTTGTGCTTTAAAGTACCCCAAAAGATATGAAACTTTCTTGTGCAATCATTTGTGGCTATTCAAACATCAGAGCATAAAGCATTTTCAACCAAAAAAAAGAACGTCAAAGCAATGTAAGTTAATAATTTCAAAAGTTGTAAACTGATTGCACATCTTTGGTCCCTTGTCACTGCTTTTACCAATGAGTGTATTTTCAAGTCTACTTAAATTATTTTGATACCTTTCCCCCCAGTTTTACTGTGCATGGATAACTCATATCCAGCAAGATAAAGAGAATGAATTCACACAGCTCATGGGATCCTCTGAAAATGAGAGTAACAGGCTGTTCCTAGGAAGGGGAGGGAATACTTGCAACAACAAATGTCTTGTAGCATCTTAAGGTTTGGAATAAGTTTTAATAACTTAAATTTCTAAAGAACAGACCCATTTTGAAAAAGATGTACAAAACTCATTTTAATGGAAATTGTAATTTTTATGCTAATCTTAATTAAAGACTGCAATGAGCTTTCAATTACTTGTTTGGCTTTACAGATTTCAAATCTCATTTTTAATTATCCGAACATCATTTTTCAAGAGTTGACACTTGGGATCTTTGCATTTCAAAGCATGTTGACAGTTCCAATTGAAATAAAGGAGGACTTACAAACTACTTTGAGAATAACTGCTATAGATTGTAATTATGCAAATATTTTAATATTTCTTTAATTTTTAGCTCAGTGCATCTATTAAGTTTGAAGTAATGAAATGCTTTTAGATACACATGGACCTTTATTGATGGCACTTTTAATATATAGCAGAACTGAACGATCATTTTCATGCTGAGAACCAAACTGTCCAACTAAATGATAGATATATGGTACAGTCAAAAATTGACATAGCTGAAGGAGGGCAGGGAATTATCTAAATCTAAAAAAAACAACCCCAAGACATTCAAATAAAAAACAACACTAGTAGTAGTAGAGTACTTAAAATGACAGTTTGCAATTGAATTCTGACAGCTTGCTATAAAGTTTAATAATATTATATGGGGAAGATTCTGGAGGCTGCATACACTGATATATAGGAAAAACAATCCAGTGATCATAGGACTTTTCTAGTGGTTGGTGTTTCCTCCACATTTACCCCCATAACTAATAATCCTGGTCTAGTAATTGTCAAAGCAATGCTTATTACTGGGTATCCTCATGTCCCTCAAGAGAACTGGATGTATTATTCCATAACTATCTCTCAATGGACCCAAATAGCACCATATAGGCCTTATATGTCTTTTCTAAGCATCTCTTCAGCCAAATAATAAATATTTTAGGAATATGCAAAAAGCATGATCCTGTTCTGAATGGTTTACCTTCCCCCGTCCCCTTTATCTGTAATCAGGGACGGGGGAATATTCTGGTCTGCATTTGGATTGAAACAGGACTGTTTTGTTCCAAAAATCGATCGAAGCACAATAGTTCAACGTTGAGGCAGGAGCAAAATAAGAAGAGGAAAAGGGCATGGTAAAGGGGCTTTCCTGGCCATGTCACGCAAGGACATCTGAAGCAGGGAAGAGAAAGCAGTGAGAAGATCGGTGCAGTAGGATACATAGCATGAAAAGCAGGAACTGAGGGCAGGTGGGGAAGGATAAAGAGAAAATCACTGGCAGGCAAGAAAATGGGATATTCTGCTTTGAGGCCTGCTCCCTATTGCTATCAGAAAGAGAGCAGCACAGATGCCAATGTATTGATTGGCAATGAAGAGAGGTGAGGGAGAACATTAGGGAAGATGTTGGGAAGACTAAGGATGAGATGTCCAGGGAGATATGGTTGGGAAAATTGAGAAGTCCTTCTTTCCCTGCAAAAATTACTGTGATATGCCACAGATTAATATGTTGATATGTTTTAGATTAAACCTAGAATGAATAAAATATTCTGGGTTTTACTACTGCCAAACTGCAGCAAATCTGAAAGAGTTCAGGAGAACTCTTTGTTATTTCAACAATAAAAGCCATATAAAAAATCAAGATCAGCAACATTTCTGAAATTTATCATACTGTAGAAATATCACCATATATTCTGACAACAATCCATAGCTCAAATTAGTTCCTGACATTTTTCATCATTAAATCTTTGAAATAGGAATATTGGGGCATTTGGAAGGACTTCTCTCCCAATGAATACCAGATTCAAACAACAACCACCTCTCTGAAATTCCAGTCCAATCTACTAAAGCTGTGCTTCTCAAACTTGCAGAATTCTGGAAGGTTAAATAAATGAATGAATGAATGAGTGGATAAATTAAAAAAACCTGCTGCACTAAAAGATATTACTGGCCCATCTTCTACAACTTTCAACTGCCCAAATAAATAAAGCATGCCCATCAAACTTATTTTGATCTTATTCAAACTTATAAAGCTGCTAGTCATAAAAGAGTTATATATTTCCAAATTATTTTGCTGTCTTACCTATTCTCAAGTCCTATCAGTGAGCAGGACGCTATTTTGACTCTGATGAATCTATTCAAGGCACAATTAAATATGATTTCTGTTTTTGTGCCTTCTGCGTAAAAGAATGTTAATTACTTTCCCTGCAAACCCATTTTATTCATTTTTATTTGAATCAGCATATGACAAAACTTCTGCCACACTGTTCTTGTATTATCCCCAAGAGATCCAAATCTTGCTTCCCAATTAGAACCAGATACTATCAATATGGAGAAATATTTCTTATTTATTCCTCTGCAGGGAATACGAGAAAAAAGGAGAAAAACTGCCAAGAAAGCTGCAATGAAGTTGTTCAGTGTCTGAATTTGAATAATATAATGAAATATAAACTTAAAAACATTTCAAAGGATTTCTCAAATACAGTGTCTACCTTAAAATTTGAGGTTTTAATATGCAAGGATGACACACTGATGTACAAGATCTTTAGTCGATCTATCTGAATTGACAAATGGTATTTGACAATTCATATTGTCTCTAAAAAGCTGAATTGGGATTCACCAGCTAACTAGCAGATGACCACAAATTGATTAAACTAAGATTTTTTAAGCAATCCCTTTCTAAATTACTAGAGATCCCAACCGTGCTCATATAATTAGTGCCCAAACATTAGCTCCCTATTTTCCAATTGTAATTTATACTACTTGCATTTCATTTCATCCTGTATTCTGACTTGAATTCTCATCTCACTTTTACAGTTTAATCATTGAATATTTGAGTTCTTCTGTGCTTCTGTGTGTGTCGCTGTGTTAATAAGAAGGTGAAGGAAGTGCTGAAGAGTGACCCTGGTTCTAGTCTACCCACAACCACATATGGGTAACTGGTGGCCAGTCAACTTCCTTAGCCAAGGTACTTCAGAGAATTGTCACTCTGTGAAATGAAGACTATGTATGTTACCTTCAGTTCCTGAATGAAGGTAAAGAAAGAGTCCCTGTGAGCAGGGGTGGGATTCAGTTTTTTTAACAACCGGTTCTGTGGGCATGGCTTAGCTGGTGGGTGTGGCTTGGTGGTCATGTGACTGGGTGGTCATGGCTAACTCGACATCACTAATGTCAAAGGGTGCTTCTCCTCACCTGGCCTCTCATGACAGTGGGGATGCTGTAACGGTCATAAGTGTGAAAAAAGGTCATAAGTCACTTTTTTCAGTGCCATTGTAACTTTGTCACTAAATGAATTGTTGTAAGTCAAGGATTACCTGTACAAAAATACAAAAAGCTTCTTTGCTTGCAAAAAGCTGCCCTAAATACCAATCATTAGCTGCAAGCCGGAGTTACAAATCAGGCAGGGTGCCAGAGCACCTTGAGGAATGAAAATAGTTAAAATGCAGTGATAACTATCAAGCAGCCAACTCTTGCTCACAAAGTGAATCCCTTTAGCAGAGAGGTCATTTAAGCTCTCCAGAAAAAGCACACCCAGGAAAAGCAATCCTTAGATCCATTTGCACCACTTAAAAATACCAGCTGGTCTCACTCACCTCACAAGATATCCTAAGGCAATCATCCAGATTTAAGGAAAGGTCACATGCCCCCAGAAAGGCAGTAAAAAAATCATTGCCAAGCTTGCATCCTGCCTCTTGGAAGTATACCCCAAAAGGACAGTGCCAGATAGTACTAAAGCAGTGAGGAAGACCCCCTCCACAGATAGAAAAAGAAACCATAAGGCAAGAAAAAATTCAAACACAATACAAATAATTAAATCACAACAGTATCTGTTGCTTGTTGAAGCTGAATAGGGAAAATTATCCCATCAATAAACACAGGATTAAACGTCACCAAGCACAGAATTAACCTTCACCAAAAACCAGTCTTAGACCAAAACTCAGAAGGGTATGTAAACTCACATTTGAATGTCAATTTTTCTAGTTAGCCAAGAAGCCTTGCTGAATGTTACTCATCTTGGTTCCGTGTCACTAAAAGCTTCGCTTCATTATTCAATTATTTCTTCAAAGGGCTGATTGTCAAGGGAAGTATTTCCTCCCAACAGCAGTGTAAAAATCTTATAACAACCCTTCCCCTTTAAGAAAGACAAGCTGCAAAAGCTCCGGAGACAGTAAGTCTAGGCTGTCTGCCAAGAATGTAATAAGGGTGAAAAA